TTGATGGTCCGCAGTTGGTGCGGCAGCATAGTAAAATTTAACATAAAATTTTTTCCGTGTAAGTACACGAATATAACGCCTGATGCACCTCTAGCATCCCTGCAGCTGCAGCCTTACAGGGGATGCGATTTGTGCACTCCCCTTTATGTAAGCCGGCGGGTATACCCTATACGGAAGAACGTTATGGCGCAAGCGTTATACATTTTCCATCCCCGCTGACGCTCTGCACCTTTCTCGGGGTAGGGATGGGCTCTCGCCACGGGGGTGGAGGTCTTCAGTGAGAGGCTAAACGCGATCCCGCGCGGTACGGTCACCGTAGCGATCGAAACTGTACACACGGTGTACATATACCATCCCCCTCCCCCATATACACACGCATACTTATGTACATATTTGCGCGTATTTGTATACAATCTATATTTTTGTACCGACGATAACTAGATGACTTTTTTGTATCGTGGAAATACGTCCAACGGAAGAAGGAAGAATCACTGTGTACATAGATACATATATGGTGTAAAGTGGTAGAACCGGCAGAGTCCACCGTTACCGATGGGTAGGACGGATATGTCAAAAACGCTCAATGCTTATAGAATGTGAGTAGACCTATAAAAAATCCATAATTCTGCCCTTCTTTCTCTCTCCTTTTTACACCAATTTTCGTGAACAATTTTCCCATAATTTCTCCGTGAGAGTGACAAAGTGGCTCATATTCGCAGTATTGCGATTGTGCTGTGAAATGACGAAGTGTATCTTGAAGAGAGAGAACATTACTCTTACAAGCCCACAATAATTTCTTTATTGGATCTTGCCCACACCCGGTGTAAACAATTCATTAAACCATGTCGTAAGTTATACGTTTGTTCGTTTTAACGGCATTACTTACGCTTTATCCCTATTTTCTACGTTCTTTCGAGGTCTAGCGGAAACAAACAAACTTATTGATAACGCTAATATGGGATTGGCAAAATGGCTATAGTGATCATGACTCTGGAGAATAGCTTCAGCGGGAAATAGCAGGCATCAGGTTCAACGAGAGTAACGAAAGCTGTCGATGCTCTTCAAGATTAGGCTCAACTTTGTTAAGTTCAATGATAAGGATCATTCATATCCGATTGCTACGTAGCAGCAGACTTAGAAATTACTCCAACTGTCCTCGGTGCTGCATGAGCATCGATCGGCGGTTCTCATGGCGCCGCGACGTTATCGTGCTCATCTGCGATATGTATGGAGCGCGGTGGTGATATGAAATTTCCGGGAACATCTTTGAAAACTGATGTTTTGATGTTCTAAAAAGATTCTTGTTAATATCAGCGCGTACGCACACACCACGCACCTATTATACCGTTTATCTAATCTTTAAACCTTATAAAGATTAACACGTCGATCAATATTATATAAATTTTTTTACTGATGATGTATTTTGCTTTGGCGCTATATCTCGAGTTTTAATTTATTGTATGTAGTTGTATTTTTGATAAAATAATTTGGTTCTCCAGAAATATGTTAATTGATGCTGATTATGGTTTATCTGAGCCTCTAGCTTTTTTTTTTGAAGATTAGAAAGTTATGTTAATGATAGTTAATCAATGTTGTTTTGTGACGAGTTAATTCTGTTACAAATATATAGGTAAGTGAAGTTTTTGTGAAGGTTTTGATTAAAATCTTGTGTCGGATTTATTAAATTATATTTCTTCTAGAAATATCGATTGTGTTCAAATTGTGTTCTTAGCAATATTAATGAATCTATATATATAGATTCTATCGTGATCTTCTAGACATCTAGACTATCGTATATTAAATTGACTAACTATGGTATTGCTGAAAAAATCGACTCGTGTTAACTGTAGTTTATTTAATCCTATCTCTTGTTGAAGATTTATATTAATACTTATTAATATTAATGATTACAATCTATTACTAAATATACAAAAGTGTTTCAAATTATTTGAAAAATTGAAATTTGTGCAAAAAAATAAGAGAAAAGATAAGAGATTGAAATGTTATACAAAAAAGAAATAGATCTAACTTTAATTTTGATCAGTAAAGCTTTCTTTTATCATTTTTATTATTGATTATTTTTATGTGATAATACTTCTGGTAAGTAAAAAAAAAACTTATTTTACTCGTAATGAGTGTTACTATACTTCATTATCGAGTTTCTCACGGTCTATTGCGTGTTAACATAAACACGTAATGTTGCCGTAGCTTTGATATCTCACTTCTTCCCTCGTATGAAATAAAGATCGCCATTTCGATGATCCGAACGATAAATTTATTTGAAGAGTAGTAAGATAGATTATTATTACAGATTAGCCTAAGAATATATTAGGTTAATAAAAATAATTGTGGAAAAAGAAATTTTTTTCTCTATGGTACTGCATTAATAGAACAAAAGAAGTTTAATGAGTATTTTATTAGTGTAATAGGCATCAATTACACATTAGATTAATCTCGAGCGAGTTTTGTTTTGTACATACATCAAAATATATACACGATGTATACAATTATAAATAGAATTTACAATTCTATTCTGAAATCTTTGATATAATCGTCTGGACTAAAATATATTAGAAAGAGTTGTATACAGTTATTTTTATACATATACACTATATATTTCTGTATATACTGAATCTAATCTGATGCTTAAAATTGGACTTGCCTTAGAATTTTATCTAACATCTTTCAACCTTTCATACTCATTCTCAACACACACTTCTTTCTATGTTTGTCTACATTCTCTATAAACTTAGTTCTCTATCCTATCACGTTATTTCTTTTTTTCCTAGTGATCTTTTTATCTTTATTCTATAATTTCCGATAACCTCTGAGATATATTTCTATACATTTGTAGATTGCTTATTTTTTTAATAGTTCGTTAATTTTCCCCGGTTGAAATTTTATCGCAGATTTGTGATAAAAGATATAATTCTTTAAATAAAAAAGAAATTAGAAATATCCATTTTTGCATTTTTTTGTCAGTCCTTATTAGACAATTACTTATTACTTAGCCAATTAATTGTTAAAATTAGAAATAGTCGTACATTGATTTAAACCATGTGTAATTTTTCTTTATTTATTTTTTATTTATAGTAATAAAAGAGGGTAAACGTTCTATGAATATATTATGAGCATGTAGATAGCGGAAAGCAGTTCACAGAACACATAATGTATAGCAGATATAAAGAAAACGATCGTGTGTACAGATAAATAATTTTATTCGCTTTTCGTGGCTTTCGACTTTCGATTCCCTATTATTTTATCCTGCAAAATTTATCATAGAATGTTTTTCAGAGTCGTTCTAAGGTTTCGAATCACGATAACTCCTTTCATATATATTTCAAGTTGCATAATGGTTTATACATCGGTCGACCAAATAATCCAGAGGTACAAATTCATACAAGGCGGATCACGTAGATTGGTTTCTGTCTTTTATTATCGCCACTTCGAGCGGTTAAGGTCGTCGCTGGTCGTAACTGGTTGAATAACGGAAGTCCCGGGATCGGACAAATGTTCTTGTCGTGAGATCGTCAGGTCTGTCCACAGTACTGACCTCAGGTTGTTGGAGGAGGTCAAGGTTTACGAGTGCCTGAAAATTCAACCTCGATCGAACGTCTAGGACACCTATAAAGATACGGCTATCATCATTCGAATAGATGTACCGGCACACTTTACCGGCAGGAATGCCTGGACATAATACATATAGGTATCGAAATGTCCAAGCATTTCTGCCGGTCAGTCTAGGTGTTCGATCAAGATGCTTCTCAACTATTATTTTATAATGGATGCATTGAGACAGTTCTCGAAACGGGATAGGCCAATAAATCAGGACAGAATGTCGATTGAAGCTATAGAGGTATTGCATAATTGGAAAATAATACTAGTTAGTTATGTAGTCTTACAGTGATAGATTGGTACCAAATTCGAAATTATTGTTTGAATGACGTACAGTACATCGTACATATGTGTAATATCGATTGTAGTGGAATATTTCACAATTGATCTTTAGAGGAAAGCGGTCTCTCTCGGCCGGTATCGATTACGTGGCGGCGACGCGATCGTTCCCTCTTCACCATCGAATTTTTAGTCGCGTTACACCTCTACAGGCCGATTCACAAAAAGATGCTATATGTAACATAAGAATTCAATTTTTTTAATTAAAAAGAGATCTTGAATAGAAAATTCCAACATCAAATCCTAACGATTGAGGTAGTGAATTTTTAGATTGAACCTTAATATTATAATCAATACATTGAAATATTTCAAATCTTGATACTACAGGGCGAGATATGAATCTCGGCATTCAATTTTCGAGGAGATTTGAATGTATTTAATTGTATACATTTAATTCTTTATTTAACATTTAATTGTTTTTACACATTTAATTCTTTTTTCTCTCTTTCCGGTATTGTTTTTATAAAATTTTAAATGTTTTTTTTCCAAGTTTTATAATGATATATTGGCACAATACTATACTGCTCATGAGTTAGAAGCTTCGACAAAAATTATTCTATTTGTAAGTTAAAAAAGAGAAAAAGTCGAAATGTTATTGCATTGATATTGTAAGTTGTAAGTACACAAAGTATGTTATAATACAATTCATACATCTATCTTTTTTGAATTGTTCAACTGATTGTAACACTTATTTTCCTCAATTTTTTTATTTTATTTTATAATATTCTTTGTTGATTTACTTTACAATTAAATAAATTTTAAAATAAAATTCAGAAAAATAAAAGCTTTTTTAATGACAGTTAATAAGGGAGGATAATATATTGAGATATATTTTCGTAAATCGCTCTGTACAATATGTATCCGATTCTGTCGGAATCGCGAGAGCGCCGCGGTACCACGATGCGCCGGCGTCGAAATATTGAGCCGATGGTATACCGCGCGTTAGACCAGCACGTAGACAGCTTCAACGCGGCTCCGAAGACATGGGGTAAGTCCTCTCTCTTCGTCCTCGTCTTTCGTTTCGCTCGCGACTCTCCCCGATCGAGTGTCGATCGCGTTCTCAAGTTATAACGGTTCTCTTTGTCTTCGGGATCTCTGAGACCCCGCACCTTCGGCCTTCGACTTCCTTCTCTGCGCCGGAAGCGCCTTGGCGCTCGTCGGCCATGTTACAAAAATATATAACAATGGTATATGAGTTTTTGATGTTTTATTATAAAGTATCCACAGATACGCGTGAGGTGAAATATTTTATCGGCGTTCTATTTTAGAAATTAACTGCTATTTACTTTATAAATATAAGAATTTATTTTTATTTTTCAACAGAACGTTTATACACTTTGAAGGAAAAGTGGGAAGAAATATTTTTGTTCTGCAAATATAATTTGTTCTCCTTTCTTTCTGTTTACAGTAAAAAAATTGAGAACATAGGCAGAATGACGGCGATGACGCAGGAGGAGATCGTGGCTGGAGCACGAACGGTTGCTCAGGGTCTGGAAGCTCTTCGAGTGGAACATGGGGGTCTGCTACAGGGCCTGCAGTCTCAGGACGCGCCAGCCGCTCGGGACAAGGCTAGTCTACTATCTAAAATCATTGAGATGATCGACCTGGGCCTAGGCGAGGCGCAGGTGATGCAGGCGCTGGCGAGTCATCTGCAGATGGTGGAGGCGGAAAAGCAGAAACTGAGAACACAGGTGAAGAGGTTGTGCCAGGAGAACGCCTGGCTCAGGGACGAGCTGGCCAACACACAACAAAAGTTGCAAGCGAGTGAGCAAGCCGTAAGTACTTAATACCACCTGTTTAATCGTAATGTAATAATTTTATGTAGTACATATAGGTACAGAAATAATTTAAACCGAGATTTCAAGAATTTTTTATAAGTACATGTCGATTGTACTTCAATTTTATTTTTTATAAATAAATTAGTAGTGTTAAAGTTTACTGAATATTTTGTTTTATTTTATTTTTATTTTGTTTTTTTCCCCCTTTTGTTTCTCATAAGCAGTTAAAACCGAATTTATTAATTTTCTTCTTATCGTTATTATCTATACAATCTTGCGTATTTTAGCATATTTATATCTTGCACCAATTGGTGTATCGTGCAAACTCTTCTCCCCTCCCCCGATTGGATTTTTCGGGCGATTGATTAACAATCGAAAGCGGGGCAGCCTTTGTCTCTTCCTTGAGAACTCTTGCGCGAGAAAGTAGTTCAATGAGGCGAAATTATTTGCGTGATTGTGATTGCGAAGCTAAAGGGAGTGAAGTGACCGGACGATTCGATATCTTCAAATCAGACCGTTCCGCTCTCGTCAGCCTCACTATTGATTCGGAGTGTGACCAAAGTATTCCGAATTCAAACGCTGCAACAACTGTGACTTTGGCCATTCGGTCGAGCGAAACGTGTGGCTCTCGCTCACGCTAACGTTTTGCGAAATTAACGAGTGGTGGAGTTTTTCGTCCTGCATTGAATGCATTGTGCTGTAATCATGTTCGGTCGAATTTGCTGTAAAGCAGATGTATTGGTCAATCGTATAAAAAGCACGTCACTTAGATGCGATTGGCCATTCTGGTAGTACTAGAAAGAGAGAAAAATACGCTCAAAAGTCTTTCTCTTTCTCTCTCTCGGCGACAGCCAGAACAATAGATCACTCATTCTAGTTTAAGTAAAGACTTAAAATTTTTGACAGATCTTTGTTCACAGATCAAATTTTCAGCAGTAATTGTGAAAATGTTAGCAATTGCGAAGAGGCCCCATTTTATTAATAATTTTCTTTATTACAACAAATTGCTTGTTATTCTATAGTCAGCAAATTTATCACATTTTCAATTGTGTATTTCGCAGGTTGCTCAATTGGAGGAAGAGAAGAGACATTTAGACTTCATGGCCAGTATGCGACAATACGATCCGGATCCATCAACAGAAGATGAAAATGCTAAGGATCGACCGAAAGACGATCCTGTGGTGGATCTCTTTCCTGATGATGATGCGGACGATCGCAATAGCAAATGTATTTCTACCTTTCTATCTTTGAATTATCGCAATAGCAAAATTTCTAATACTGAAAATTTTATAAACATAATTATTTGTAAAAAAATTAACACTATATAAAAGATAGGAGCAAATAATATTATTTAATAATAAATAGAAAATTATTCAACGAATATTATAATAAGAAGAATTGTGGTTTAATTAAAATTTTTTATAATTATGACTTTTAAACTAATTTAAACGGATTAAGTGCAAAATAATTTAGAACTTCATAAGTATTACGTGGCTATTTCTTTAATAAAGATTTTTATTGTGTTTTTCAGCTATATCTCCAACTCCACCGTCGCAGTTTGCTCAGCAAGTGAATGCCGGCTATGAGATACCGGCACGTCTGCGTACCCTGCACAACTTGGTGATCCAGTATGCGAGTCAAGGTCGCTACGAAGTGGCCGTTCCCCTGTGTAAACAAGCTTTGGAAGATCTGGAGAAAACTTCTGGTCATGATCATCCGGACGTGGCAACAATGCTCAACATACTTGCTCTTGTATACCGAGACCAGAACAAATATAAAGAAGCCGCAAACCTTCTGAACGACGCTCTAGCGATTCGAGAGAAAACGTTGGGTGAAAATCACCCCGCGGTAGCGGCGACGTTGAACAATCTTGCGGTGCTATATGGAAAACGAGGGAAGTATAAGGAGGCTGAACCCCTATGCAAACGAGCACTGGAGATTCGCGAGAAGGTACTAGGTCGTGATCATCCGGATGTGGCGAAGCAACTGAATAATCTGGCACTGTTGTGCCAGAATCAGGGTAAATACGAGGAGGTGGAGCGTTACTATCAACGTGCACTCGAGATCTATGAGGCTAAACTAGGCCCGGACGATCCAAACGTCGCTAAAACGAAAAACAATCTGGCATCTTGTTACTTGAAGCAAGGAAAGTACAAGGATGCCGAGGTGCTATACAAACAGGTGCTTACTAGAGCGCATGAGAGAGAATTTGGTGCCATCGATGGTGACAACAAGCCGATTTGGCAGGTACGAAAATATTGAATCACTAGTACAATGCAATTGCAATGTTTTCAAAGCTGCGAACAAGTATTTAATTTTTGGAAATTTTTTCAGAGGACACTTAGTAATAGTTAAAAGATTCCAGAATTATATTTAAAAAAAGAACATGATTCACGACTTATGATTTATTTACTGCAATTCTTCAAAAATTTTTTTTTTAGAACAATGCAATGTAACTTATAATCTACTTTACCACATATCTTCTAAAAGATTGATCCATGAAAAAAACTTAAGTTAACTGCAAAACTTATAGATTAACAATAAAACTTCTCTCTGTGTGAGCATTACACAACTAATTCCGTTACACAACGGAAAAGTGATGACTGATGGTTACTATTAATTTATTATTTCAACTTTCGTATTTTTACACACATATATACATTAATGTGAAAGTTATATAAGATATGGCAGTGACTCACTGTCACAAAATTTCTTTGGTATTTTATATTAAAATTTGCTCTACATTAGAACATTATTGTTGAGGAAACTAAATTTGTATTAATTTAACTTTTTTGAATTTTTGATGAAATTCTTGAAAATTTAATTGTTTTCTGACCGATCTTATGATTTCTGTTTTAGGTGGCTGAAGAGAGGGAGGAGAATAAGCACAGGAACAAGGAGAACACACCATATGGCGAGTATGGCGGTTGGCACAAGGCCGCGAAAGTGGATTCCCCCACTGTCACTACTACCTTAAAAAATCTCGGCGCCCTTTATCGAAGACAAGGTAAATACGAGGCCGCGGAGACGCTCGAAGATTGCGCCATGAGATCTCGAAGAGAGGTAGATAACGTTTGTATTAATTTTTTTGTTAAAATAATACGTATGTATAATTGCAAATAATACAACTAACGAGGTTTCTTGCATTTCACGCACACGCAGCACGCACAACAAGTGGGTTTAGTGAGTAAAAGCTTAGCACGATTCTGGAATCTTGCATGATCTTTGCACATTGCAAAATTACATAAAGTTAATTTTTTCATCTGCGTTTAAAATATCCTTTTTTCTTATTAATTTTTTATTCTAATTTTAATTCACGTTAACATAATGTTACATACTGCCATGTGTAATAGCGATATATAATTAATACACACATGGTCGTGACAAAATTTTTTTCTTTATGTTACACGTGTATAATCTATGTACAAACAATATTTTAACAATTAATAATTATAAAGTAAAGAAACCTGTGATTGTGAAAAACTTCTTTATTAGTCTAAGAATAAGTTTATTGCTTGAAGCGTTGACAGTCAACATGTTAAATAATTTTAAATGGTTAGATTATCAAGTATTAAAATTAAATGATCAAACTTTGCAAATTAAAATTAATAATATACTGTATGTATATGTATGCAGTAAAAAGTAATATCGACAGAAATTAAAATTTGATGGAATTAGTGGATTCATAATATGCATTCATAGTATAACCATTTGCTTTTATTTTTTTTGCAGGCGTTAGAATTGGTGAACAAGGCACGAGTAGCACAGCTGCTGGGCGACGAAAAGAGCTCCACCAGACGTGGCTCGCGGTCCAGTCTGGCTAATAGCGAACATGAACAAAGTCACGAAGAGGTGAGTTTCTTTCTCTCTGCTGTTTGTCATTTCGACGTATAAATTAGCCGTATGCACTTTCGCATGTCATGCAGTAGTTGACACAAACACTTATAGCCGTCTACTATCCTTTTCTTCTTTCTTTTTGTTCTTTTTTTCGTTTCGTCCCGTCGTCCGTCACGTCCGGCACAACCTGATCTGACCGAATCTCATCGGCGACCGCACACGCACGCATACGAACGCAATCGAACGCAGGCGAACAGTTCGTTGCCACTGGTGCAAAGGGCGCTACACGAAGGACAGTCAGCGGCGAGCAGTGGCCAGCACCAACATGACGCTAGTCCTAACAAACCCGGGTTTAAAAGCAAGATCTTTCAAGCTTTTGGCATTAATTCGTCGTCTACTACATAGGCCGGGCGGATTCCGTTTTCTGTTTCTCGTTAGCTTCTATTCCGCCTTATCACATCGTCACCGTTCTCTTCAGCTGCGTATTCTGTATTTTTTTTTAACAGTTTTTATTTACTCTCTTTCACTCTCTAATGCTTTCTTGTAACACTTATCTTAAATGTAAAATTTATCGTACTGCAGCTAAAGAGAACAGCTTTATTTTATCGTGCTCTCATTCGTCATCCGTCGATGATTTTTTAAACGTCACTATATAGGTAGATGTACTTCTAAAGCAAGCGAGAACTTCAAAATATACTCTTTTATTTTATCTTTCACATTTAATATATCTATAAAGGATTCATATCAATCGATTGATTTCTGAATATCTTTTGATGTCATAAAATAGAAACTATTAAAATATTAAAATTAATTGATCAGATTTGAAATAGAATGTTAAAATTAAAAATATTAAGATAAAGTATTAACAGGATTTATTTTGACTTCAATAAACTCACAATTATTTTAGGATAATTATTAAATTATATGAGATGGCTTATAGAGTTATTTTTTATACATATTAAGGCTCCTGGGTACTCGTCGCGGTCATGTTGGAATGTGACGTCAGAAGCGAGAAGTGACACGTTGAAAATTCTTGCATGATATTTCCAAATAAAAAGATATTTGCTTAAAATAACACTACAGATCACTTCAGCACATTTTCAAAAATACTCCGAGTTACATCCCTTTCCCTTGACAGTTATTAAACATCTCAACATATCCGTAAAAGGAATGTGATACGATGCAGGCGCATGATTAGATTTCGTATTACATTCATTTTGCGGCTGTTTATTAACTGTCAAGGGAAAGGGGTAGACTTAACTTAAACTCGGAGTATTTTCAAAATGCGCTGAAGTGATCTGAAGTGTTATTTTATGCAAATATCTTTTTATTTGGAAATGCCATGCAAGAATTCTCAACGTGTCAATTCTCAACATTTCTCGTTTCTGACGTCATATCTCACGAGATGTCGGGAAAGAGCCCAGGAGCCTTAAGAGAATATATAAAAATGAAATCAAATATATGAGTGAAAGAATGTCAATTCATAGGATGTCATAAAAACACGATGCATATCTAGGCACAATGCGTATGTTCTGAATATGCTCCGAATAGAGCGCATCTAACTATCATGTGATAAAACGTGACGCCTAGTATAAATGGAACCTTTCAAATGAATCATCCAGTATAGAATTATTTGCGGAATTCTCCTCAAATAATTGATTATAACGTCGACATTTTTATTTTAAGAATTTTATTCATCTTAAATAGTTTATGTTGACAGCTGTATTCGACACACATTTTATTGCACACTTTGTAAGGCTACTTGTGCCGTCGTTTCCTGAGATGAACAGAAATGTTTATTAACTTTTTTAGAGGACAAAAAAGATGAATGATGGTGATGTTTAATGTGGCATTTCTCTTTATTCGTTGATGTCATATGCAAATCGAAAACTTTTTTACGTGTTTTAGTATTATATATAGTCACATACAGGGTGTAATCGCCGTTTCAATTGGAACACCTTGTATAAATTGCATTTACATGAGACTAACTTTCCAGATAAATGCTTACTCACACATACCGTAAATGTAAGAAATAACTGGACCATTTCATCTATCATATTGTTACGCCCGGGACTCACTCGCGTTCGCGCACTTCCGAACTCGTGGAAGTAAAAGGAGACAAGCTAGCGGAAAAGAACTGTTTTATTCAGTGAAGTACAGATTGGTCACTTTGACACGTTCGTTCGGTTTAAAGTCTCCACTTCCAATCTTCATGGCGTTGTTATTCAATCAACTCAAGGGGACGACTCGCGACTTCTTCTATCGGGCGTCTCGGCGCGGGCGTAATAATATCTATTATAAATACAGTATGTCGAAAACATACGAAATTTAATGTTATTTGAAAATTTCAGTATTTTGAATATTTTAAACTACAAAGAATATTAAGAATTATAAACTGATATTATTAAAATGTACTAATATTTTTTGTATAATGTTAAGAGATATTCTAGGAATAATAGATTATATCGAATTTTTTGTGTTTATTACTCTAAATTACTTTGGAATACGACATTGAATGTCTTCCAATTTTGGAATAGCATTTTTCCACTCTATTGGAGTAGCATTTTACATTCTATTAGATATATATTCACTATGATTATTCATTAAAAATCTGAAACTATTTGTATTGATGAATTTAATATTATGTAACATTTTAAAATGTTTACGTTGTAAGCATGTCAATGTGGCATAACCAATGAAGTTTAATAGTTTTTTTTTTTAACTTAGATTTTATAGCAGGTCCAGTCATTGTCTTACATTCATAATTTATATAAAGAGATTGCAACAATCAAACGCGTATTCGACACGTTGCTTTTAACTAAAATAAAGAAAGAAATGCAATTAGGAATTGATTAAATCTCAGAAATATAAAAAAATTTTGATAGGCAACAATAAAAAACGTGATTATATTTTTTTACTTGTCACGCATTATAGAGTTTGACCTAAAATTTTTTCTTTTTCAAATATATATCTGTTTTTTTTTCTTTCTCGCCGCAAAATTTGATACAATTACGCACACGTTATTTAAAAGTAGTATTATCATGCAATTAGTAACTTTGCTTAACTATATAGTGCAGTATAGATTCGCAAAGCAATGCGAAAAAAACGAGATATATTAATGATTAAAAGGCCTCGAGTAAATAGGCAAAGGTTATTTATGTAAAAAAATGTTGTTAAGAATTTAATAATAATTATGAAAAATATTCCGATTTTTATTCAATTCATCATTACATTTATATATATGTATAATATATGTATTTATTAAGATATAAATTGAATTAAAAATCGGAATAAAATTCATTGAACTTTATCGGAAAATATATTCCAATGTTTTAAATTAAATTAAAAATTGGAATACATCGAAAAATATTTATGTATTTCAATTTTTATTTAACTTTGCTTTATAAAGAATTTCTCCAAATTTGCAATGCAGTGATATGTATATCCCATATATTGATAAATATTTATGATAGCATAGAACATACTTTCTCGGATACTTTGCGTTATAACCAAATTGATTTTTAAAATTCCACGTGGCTTTTAGCGGTATTTTGATCACAATTTATACGCTTTATACGGTATATTGCAGCAATTTCGATTGTTGAACATGTATAATATCTTGAAGATATAAGATAAGATGTCTTGAAGATATATTTTATTTACAGCGATAGATATATTTACACAATTGTATAGAGAAAAATAGATTTCAAATATAATTCAGACATAGAGATGTATTGAACGTACTTGAAAACTTCGTTAGAGGAAGAACGTCAAGTTGCAATCCATAAAATATATTCAAAATATATTTGAATTATACTTGAAATGTATTTAACGGAGGCAAAAAATGACGTGGGCGATATCTCTTATAAGATCTCAACGGTGCATGTAAAAAAAGAAATAATGTTTCTCTTGTTGATTTCTGCGTTGCGAGATACCAAGAGTATGTGTGATTTCGATTGAACAATAGATATGAGTTTTATATATTCTACGAAGCGACATCAGCACTCTTAATACATACACATTCTTTTTTAGATAGAATAATTTGTTATATAAATTAATAATGGTTATTTTAATCTCGATTGAATTAATAGATTAAAAATGATGAAGGTAGTGCCTTGAGACTTTAATACATAATAAATAAATTATTTTCAAACGCAGACTCCAGTTTGTTCTTGATTTTTTCTCCATTGTACAACATTTCGAAGTTGTTATGACTTTTTATTATAGTTACGCTATGAGATAATAATACCTACGAATATATAAAAAATAGTAATTTTTAAATTTTTAATAACGCTTTTAATAATTTTGTTTTAAATTAATTAAGATTAATTAAGACTAAATTGCCTCTAAGAAATATATATATATATATATATGTGTATATAGGCAAAAGAAGTTTTGCAACTGAAAGCAAGTTGCAATACTGTAAACTCCACTTATTCTAGGTTCCCGTTTATCTTGGAACAGCTATCCCATTATAAACTGTAAATTTTTATTTTAAACTATTTTTTGAGTACATGTTTGCCAATTCTTGTGATAGAATATTCTTTGTATCTTCTCGTATAAAGTGAAAAAATGAATGAAAAGCAGAACGCGCAATATTTCACTTGTTTAATTAAAGATACAGTTTCCATGTATTCTAGTGTTTTATTAGAATTTATTAGAATGATTGGGGATTATAAGGACAGGTTCCAAAATAAAGAAGCCAGATCCTAATTTGTTAATTTTAGAATAGAAGGATTTTATACATTTGATCTGAAACGTTAGGAAGGCATGTGAAAAAAGCTGTAATTTATAGGACGTATAATGTAATATGTTGGTAATGAATGGAATATTGTGCATTTAATTTTCTCTGCACGCAAAACTTGTGCTTAACTATACCGTTCGTTCTTTGGATCAACTTGCGTTGTCGTTTTTGTTTCGCTTTTGATTCTTGAGTATATATTGAGCGGAATCCAAAATACAAGATGAGGCTGCCGATGACGTAGCGGAAATATATCACTCCTGACGATGAATGGATACATGATAAGGTGCGTATTTTTTTCGTAGAAATATGTAAAGTTTTTTGTTTCTACATTATTAGTGCACAGAATATAACTGGTTGTGATTATCCTTGATTGTTTCCGTCACTTTATTTATTTCTTAGATGTGTCAATCTATTTCTTTTAAATAATTTAAATGAACAAACATCTTTCGTTGATAATGTTGAAGCAGCAAGTCGATAAAGGTGATACATCTTTTACATAAAGAGATATATTTTTTATAATGCGTAGAAATTTATTATTGTATAACATTAATCTGTTCTTCTAAATAATCAGATTATTTTATATTGAGAATAAATGTCATATATCTTTATTTAACTTTTATAATGTATCATCTTCATGTTTATTTGCTTCTTTAATTCTTGTTTTCCAACAATTAATGATTGCTCTTGATGTGAAATTCACAGTAGCGATAATAGTGATAAAAATAAATGTAATAGCAATAATTTTATCGAATATAATAAATATAGAACAGAGTGGGGATGCTAATATATATCAATAACTACACAATCAAGAAAGTTGCAGAAGGAGTAAAGTGTAAATTTGTTATTGTGTAGAATTGTGTAGCATGCCGGAGCAATATGTAATACTTGTGTATCATAATTGTTTCCTCGATTTTTGTGTGCTTGCTATGACGACAAAATATAAATACTACACTAGTTAATTTAATACTGTGCGCTTCTTTCAGCAATATTATTAATATTTTATAAAATATTATAATTATAAATATCTTGTGTTTTCAATCAAAATAGAATTAAGGCTAATATTAATCTACAAATTATAAAAGTATTACAGAAGAACAGCATATTATAAAAAGCAGAATGATAGGAACTGGAGGAGTAGAAAATTTCCATTTATTTACTTAATATGTCGCTCAGAACTGTTAAAATACTTTTATGCATTGATTTAATTAAGTATATTATATTTGAGGTCAATGGTCATAACAATTTATTATTCCTTTTTTTTATCGACTTATTTACTACATACATTCAAAACTTTCTTAAGTTATTATATTTCTATATATTATTTAATCTTTAGCACTGTATTATCTAAAAGTTATTGAAGACACGAGGTTTTTCCTATTTTTGAGATAGTTAGACTTAAAAACTTGTTTTCATTCTGTTGCAGGACTGGAAATACGCCTTTCGCGCGAAGTAAGGAGAACGCGTTCATTGACGAGAACTACTATTAGACTGTAATCCGAATGTGCGAATGATAAGACGAAAGAAGACTCTGCATTGACCGATGATGATGTCCATTATGTCTGGATCGTCGTTCACATACACGGCACACATTCCAGCTACTTTTCTCTAACGAAAAACGCACTGTATGCGAACTAGCTCAACGTTGCTGCTAATTCTCACTCGTAGCTTCATGCGGACGATTTTGCTATGGCGCGAATTACTATCTTTACTATGTTTCGAACGTTTATTTGAATGAATCTAAGAGATATCGAATAATCGAATCAAAATCCAAAAGAATGTCAGTGTTTTACCTCGCGTACACAAAATTGCGCGTGTACATATTATTTATTTCGGTATTTTCTTCGCGATAACGCGTTGTCTTTTTATCTGGAGTTAGATTTGATCAAACTCAAGTTACGGCACGTTACTTGGTATAAACGTAATCCCGCCCGTCCGTTCTTTACATTGATTATTTAACTCGTTCGTATAATCGTCACAATATTTATTTATGTTTCCATATCTATATTATATAATATATATATTTATATATTATTTATATTCGGTGATTATATGTTATATATTTCTCAAATAATAAACATGTTTGTTTTTTTTTGTCAGGGCAATTGAAGAAATTTCTTGTGTACAACCTATCTTAAAAAACTAATTTTTTAAATCTATACTATCAAAGGATGAATCTCTCGAAATTCGATGGAATTCTCTAGACAGCGATTTGAATCTCCGTGGTGCAAAAATTGTAAATCTCAATTTTTTAGAAATATGAACTTGAGAAGATCTGAGTGTAAATTTTTTAATTTGGAACGAATAATAGAAGGATCACTATTAACAGTCAGTGACTTACAGCGATGTTGTAGCCAGAATTGTGAGCGCAAAAATGGTTTATTTATTTATCGAACAGCTATAAAAGATATTAAAGACATTCGATTAATTTAAGTAGGTTTACGTACATGATACATTCTTTTGCGCTACATCCGAGCTAGTAGTGTGCTCAATGTTTCTCATAATTTGCTAGCTTGTATGGAATTTTAACGCGAAAAAATGCACCATCTACCTATACGGTTATATAGATTAGATGGTTGCAATATTTTTGTTTTTGATGAATTTCGGTACGCGTCAAATCCTTGAGATCGTCTTTGCGACTTTGACACGTTCCACAGTTCATTAAGAAAAAAAATTGCATAACTTTTCCGTCCGTAAGTGTACGCATAGTTGGCATCAAAGAGATTGATATTTTAAATCATTTTCGCAAAATGGTATTTAAAATATAATTGAAATTACAGTGATTTACTTTTATGCTTATATTGGAAAATTATATTGTTATTATAAATATACATTAATTTAATGTATTTTTATATTATTTGCACTATTATTGATATTTTGCCCATTACTTTTATACATATGATAAATATTTATTTATTGTATTGAAATTATTGGCTTGAGTTAACTCAAATCGCTCCAATTGTATGTGTTACTGAAAATTATATAAATAAAAAGCTCTTTTAATTATTTTCAAATGAATATTGAAAATCACGAAGAGAAATTTTAACTTCGCCTTTTTAATGCCAACTGCACACTTACCGTTTTAAACATCAAAATAAAACTTATACTTTGTTAACATATCATTTCTCGAGCTTTCATTATTATGTGTCTCGTCATTCTTGAATCTTTATTGATTTGAAATGACGATTTCTTCTTACAATTTTTTAAGAATTTTAAACGAAAAATTTATTGTCGCACTATTTATTGTTTTATTTTAAACGTTATCGTTGAAATTTCGAAACGCACGGAAGAAGTTAAGCAACAAGCAAATCGATGAATTGTAATTGAGCATTTGCTTAGACTTCCTATTTGATCTCTTATTCTTGAAAATGTTCGACTACGCAATTATACACCACACTGTAAAATAATGGAAACTATATTTACGGTCGAAACTGCGTAATATTTCATGGTTTTAATATTCGATTTACACGTTTAATTCACATATCTCG